CTAACAAATATTTTTGAAAAATTTAAACGCAGAATGAAAGATTACATTATTACCGAGGGTCGAAAGTCCCTTAGGATAAACAAAAGGTTTTTTTGAATGAGATATTTGAAATAAAAAACCACACAAAATTTTCTCTTCTTTTTCACCCCTGTAAGTTTAATTAAAATAAACATAGAAGTTTTCAGGGACTTTCGGCCCTCAGTAATAATGTATTCTTTCATTGTGCGTTAAAATTTTTTAAATATACTTATTAGTTTTCTCAGGATTCAAAAAAAAAAAATAAATGCACTTAAACAGCATTAGTCCGAAATTTTGCGCCTACGCTCTTAAGCCTTTAGGGTGAGCTGGAAGCTAAATATTTAGATAATGTTAGCATCATATTAGCAATTAAGATATATACCATTAATGTATTTCTAAATCAATAGACTCTAAATAAATATCTAATTAAAAATTGTAATATTTTTGCAAGCATTGCATGTGATTGTTACAATTGTTGGCCATTATAAAATTCGAATTGTTTTTGTTAATTAACAAAACAGAATCATTTCTACACGGCATCAGTTTAATGCGATATTTTTACATTTGAAAAATTTCGTTGTAAATATGAGAATCGGTATAGATTTGTAGTGTATGTATCAGGTATCCCAAAAAGCCCATGGCAATATTAGAAGGAACGCCACATTCGCCTCAAACAACCCAATATTAGTTTAAAAAAGTTAACGAGTAAAATTGCAGACATGCCATGTCGTTTGAGATACTCTGACTTACAGCAACTGTGGATCCATTCTTGCCAACGCCCCCAGAAAAAACTGTTATTATGTGGCTGTACATTGTCACTGTACCGACTGATAGTGTACTTAAAGGAATTGCATACCACATTTCAAAAGAGTCGCTAAAAATCTAGGTTAACGCAAGTTAAAAACGAGTTTTTAAACACTTTAAACAAAGATAGATAGTATATTTCATAAATTACTCAATTATTTTAAACTAGCATGATTAATTTGAAGTAAAAATGATACTTGATGTTATAAATTGTTGTTACTGTAATAAAAAAAAGGTAGAGCTCTTCACCATTTATTATTTATCGTTTTTGCTCTGCCATCATCAAATCAATATTGACATATTCCACACAATTTAAAAGGTTGCTTGAAAATCTCACGCTATGGAATTTTATACATATTATATTATACGATGCTAATAAAAAAGAATAGAGTCAAGAGTGTATCTTGAATACTTAAAAAAACTTAACAATCAAAATACTATATTTTTGATAAATGAAAAAATAACTATCCCAAAGCCTTAAGGGAAGAAAATAAATTAAGAACATGTTACATATCCCCATTTTGTTTTGTCAACTACATCATAACGAAATTATCTAAAAATCTGGGAGCAAAAGAGAAAATGGCATAGAATACAATATAGATATATTGCCAACCAGTTCATCAGATACCTTATCATTCCATTATGTCTTCCACGCGCTCGTAACTCGTAGACTTCAAAGTATGCAGTGTTGTTCTTTGGAACAGTTGTGGTCCGGTCAAGGTGGCCAAAGAAATAGGGGTAAGGTACACCTTATATGGAACACCATTATAAATAAAATTTGAAAAGTCCCCATCAATCCCAAATGTACAAAAAAAGGTCGAAAATACAGGTTTTTGAGTTTTTCAGCCAAACGGTTAGCTTTACGACAAAAATACATTTTGTAGAAATTTGAGCAGTGTATTTTGAAGGATAAATACTTTATTGTTTGATTTACGTACTGTTACTGCCACTGGCAAAAAATGGCTCCACATGCTAGCAAAGAACTAAGAGCAAGAATTGTAACGAAATTAGAAGATGGTTGGGACTATCTGCCGCAGCAAACCATTTTAGCATAAGCAGAACAACAGTTTTTAATACTAATAAAATATTGTGAAAACAAAAAAACTCTCGAAAGAAAGCAAGGTTTTGGAAGACCAAAAATATCTTATCACTCATGAAGATCGTACGCTTTTGGAGAAACTAGAAGAGAATCCTTTGAAGATGCGAAAACTGAAGAATTATGTCACAGTTAATTGTTGAACAAAAATTTTATTTCGGTCATTTATTTTTTAAATAAAATACGCTGCTAACTACCTATATGCATGTTTTTTATATCAAATTAAAGCTTATTTTATTTTTAATATAGTGATACAGGGTTTCCTGAGAAGAAATGGTCACAAATTTGGATTGCCAGCTGTTAAAAACGCGAGGTATCAAATATAAAGTAAAAGACAGCTAGTGCACAACGCTACTGTACAATAATGTACTGTATAATAATATATATTATCACTTGTCAAACCAGTGTCGTTGCGCGCTAACTCTATTTTACTTTATCTTTAATACCTAGCGTTTTTAACAGCTGACAACCCTAATTTGCGACCATTTGTTCTAAATTCAAAATAATTATAAGGACGAAATGGCGATAAACAAGACAAAAACATATCTAAAACGATAATTAATATTTTTTGTTTAAAGACAGAAATTTATAACCATACTATCTATCTTTATAAAAAGCATAAATTTTGAAAAAGAGTAGTGTAATCTGTCAAATTTTGAAATATCCCTGAAGTTATTCTAATATAACAGGATAGCTCATTACACTGGTCTCAAAGGATTGCGTAAATATAACATAAAATATAGTTTTCATATGTAAGTTCTACAGCCTCGAGTATATTTTAAAAATGCTTTATATTGCACTCTGGGTCAAAATTAACCGGCCACCTTAATAATGGGTAATTTTTGATTTCTTATATCTCCTAAACCTGTTGTCCGATTTAAGTGATTCTTTTAATATGTTATAGCGTTATTTCTTGACAATTTCTTTATAATAATATCTGCTAAACAGGTAAATTTTCATTGTATACCGAGTGTACGAATCTAACTGTTTTTTTCTTAAAGTTTGCATCACCCTGTGGATTATTCTAGCATTTGTAGAATACTGAAATTAAATCGTAACTATAGCCTCATGCTTTCTCAACATTTTGTTTTTTGATTGATTCGCTTCTGTTAGATAATACAAAAGTTAGGTGCTTTAACAACTAGACATGTTTTTTATCAATTTTTATCCCCGCGGAAGAGAAAATATAATCTTTTTGAAAAAAGTCATTTGTTCCAGTAAAAATCAAATGAATAAAATCTTCGAAGAAAATTCAAATTAACAATATTTTGGAAATCCAAATGGGTGTTGCCGCCTCTATTCTTTAGGACTTCTTGGAGCCGGTTTGGCAATCCATTCATGATATCCTGGATATCAGATTGGGGGATATTGTGTGACTCCTCTACCGCTGCTGTCTTCAGCTCTTCAAAAGATGCAGGGGCTGGTACCCTTGCTCTTACCTGTTTTTTGAGGTTGTCCCAGATATGTTCAATTGGGTTAAGGTCGGGACTGTGTGCTGGCCATGGTAGAACTTGAATCCCGACCTAATTAAGGTACCCACGAGTAGATCTTGCTGTATGGTAACGTGGATTGTCATACATTAGTCTGAAGTTATCACCAATGAATGGTGCAAAAGGCATGACATGGTCTTGGAGAACATCTTGCACGTATATTTGGGCATTCACACTGCCTCTACCGAACACAACAAGATCAGTACGCGCTTCGTAAGAAATAACTCCCCAAATCATTATTGACCCTCCTCGGTAAGCCACTGTTTCGGTTATAGCTCATGCAGCAAACCTTTCATTTTGACGCCTATAAACACATTGGCGTCCATCTGGACCTTTTAGGGCTATTCTGCTCTCCTCTGAGAACAGTATATTCTTCCATTCTGCCATAGTCCAGTTAGCATATTCTTCAGTCTTCACACAAGTCTTCTTCTAATCGTTTGTCTACTCACACTAACGTTTCTCACCTCAAGAAGAGACTTATGAGCTTCAGGAGCCGTGCAAAAGCGATTTCTCAATACTTTAGTGACAATGAAGCGATCATCTCGAACTGAAGTGCATCGTTTTTGGCCTTGACCTGGCTTGTCTCCCGAAATCGTCTGATGGCATCTTGTACCGTAGTTCTGGGTACATCGAGTATACCAGCGATATGACGTTGGCTATCACCAGCATAAATTAAAGCCACTGCCCTAGCAGCATTAGTTGGAACGAGTGGCGTTTTTAAAATCACAAACAATAAATAAACACTAAAATTTCAATTTAAACAATATTCGCTCACAATGATATAAAATTACAATTTTAATTGTTAATTTTAATTACAAATTTAATTTTAATTACAAATTGTTCAATAATTGTTATTAACATGGAAACATATTTGCAACAATGTCGTACAACGACTATATATGTCAAAAATGCTTCGATTACACAAATTTAGGAATCAAACTGTCTCACGAAATGTAAACAAAACAATAATAAAGGTGGTTGGGTTAATTTTGCTGGTGAGTTAAATCGTTTGTATTGATGAAAAACATGGCTACTTGTTAAACTATCTAACTTTTATATTTTCCAACATAAGCGAATGAATCAAAAAACAGGATGTTGAGAAAACATGAGGCTATAGTTGGGTTTTAATTTTAATATTTTATAAATACTAGAATATTCCACAGGGTGATGCAAACTTAAAAAAAAAACAGTTTAATTCGTACACCTGGTAAACAATAAAAATTTACCTGTTTAGCAACCATATTATTATAAAGATCAATATCATAAAAATCACTTAAATCGGAGAACAGGTTTAGGAGATATAAGACATCAAAAATTACCCATTTTTAAGGTGGCCGGTTAGTTTTGGCCCGGAGTGTATATAGGGTGCTCCAGAAATAGATAAAAATATGAACATTTATTTTATAAATTCATATTTTATTTAAATTTAAAACCATTTATAAATTGTGACCGAAAGCTGTAGAACTTTTATTACTTCTAAAAATAATACATTTTGTCAAATTTGCGCAATACTCCTAAACCGCGCCAACCTGTAAGAATAGCTAAAACAAAAATGTGTATATTTGTATTAAAAAACATAAAAAATCACATACCTTTGTAGACCACACCGTTGGGCCAAATATCGAGGATATTAAGAGGATACCTATTATGGTGAATTGTGCTTCAGTGACATCCACTTTTCCAAACCGTAACGTTCCAGAGACGTACGTTTGCCAATGAGCACAATAAAATAGTGTCATCGCACAAAAGCACTGAAAGAAAAATAAATTAATTAAAATAATGCGTAAATATTGTAACTCTTTTGAAGTTTCATTGACGTTTATTATTTACCAACAAACAATATTAAAACAAGGTTAAATCAACTTGATTTGAGAAAATTTAATTTATAGGAGGCAAGCTATATTTTAATGACTTTTCAGACATTTTTAAATAAAAGACATTGATTAATAAGCACACATAATTTATTGTACAGGGTGTTTGGTAACGAATGGGTCATAGCTTAACCTTAGATTCCTGAGGTTACAATAGGTCAATTTAAAGCTAACCTACCTTAAAAGGAAAATTGATAATAACAGAAATACAGGTTTGGGATAACAACACAAAATTTACTAAGTGGGTTTACATACTTTTTTAATCAAAACTTTTATTCTATTAATATTTTTACTTAAAAAAGATATACTACATTCATCTCGCTAAACTTAACCATTTTCATATATAGGCCAAACAAATCGTAGAATCCAAAATAGGATTTATGAACATTCCATTTCTGTTCGCAATTCCGATTCAATTTCAGCTCTAGGTCAACACCATCTTCATACAGGTCACAAAATTGATTTTAAAAACTCCAGAACTATAGCCTCCATCCGCTTCTATAAACCAAGAATTGCCTGAGAGGTCTAGAAATTGAAAAAACCCAAATTGTCTCATGGCGGCATACGCTTACCTTCGACATGGAGACCTCTCATATAGAAAATATCGTTTGCTCTACCCGCCGATCAAGCTCATACTGTCAAAAATGTTTGCGCCAATCCCCACGTTATCTATCATGCCAGCCTTAAGCCACTACCTAAGAGTTTATTAATATAAAGAAAAGTGTTTAGGATGACGGTGGCATTGCCTTTATCGGCGGGAAAATGGCTAGATTTTAATTTGACTGAAGTTCTTTCAGGGCTTCTTTCTCGGACTGGCTAATGTTTGGAATAGGAGGCTTTGAGTATCTAAGAATTCTAGCGATATCTTATCTAGTTATTTCAGCATCTTCTGAAGATAAACAAACCAATCCTACGGTTTTCATCACTCTGTTTATCGAAGACCCACCCATACCAATCGTTATTGCATGCCAACTCTCATCATCCCCCTTCACAAATTAATTCAGTCATTAATATGCCTGCGTCCAGATCAATAAGCTTTTGCGATGATGCCAGTAGACCCGCTGAGCTCTCTAGTTTAAAACAAGCCCTAATCCAAAACGGTTACCGCGAAAATCACATCAATAGGAGCATCCACAGACATCAATCTCCCAGTTAATCTCAGCCCCCTATCATACGAAAGCTTTTCTTCCTTACATCCAAGGTGTCACTGACAAAACCGACAAAATTCTAAAATCAGGAGGAATAAAGACAATATTTACCCCAAAACAAAAACTTTCATCTCTTGCCCGATCAATCAAAGACAACTTTCCAAATGAATAAAACGGAGTTTATGAAATTCCTTGTGCAGACTGCCCCCGCTCCTATATAGGCCAAACAAATCGTAGAATCCAAAATAGAATTTATGAACATTCTATTTCTGTTCGCAATTCCGACTCAATTTCAGCTCTAGGTCAACACCATCTTCATACAGGTCACAAAATTGATCTTGAAAACTCCAGAACTATAGCCCCTATCCGCTTCTATAAACCAAGAATTATCCGAGAAGCCATAGAAATTGAAACAAGGCCAAATAGTCCCAATAAAAGAGATGATGGCATACGGTTACCGTCGAATTAGAGACTCTCTAAAGAAAATACCGTCCGCTCCACTTGTCAATCAGAATTCTACTGTCAGAAATGTTCGCGCACTACCCACGCTAACCTGCACCCAAGCCACATCACCATCGACGATATAAATGGCCCGTCCTCTATTCCCAGCACCAGTAATACATTAATTAGTGTAGTAGTGTCTTGGGGATCGGGGATAGATCCCCAAGCGGGGATCGAAGAGGATATCGAAAGCTAGGCGCAATGATAATCGACGCGGTTCAACCCGGATGACTCTAAAGTTTAATATTAATTCCTGTAATAGTATTAATCTTAGCTCTAGGTTTAATTTTACTAACCGCGCAAACCTTTCGGAAGATATAGAAATGTATAGGAATATAATTAGAGAGAGGCTTTCCTATGCCTCCAAATAACCATATTATTTTTGTCTGAATCAAAAACTTTTTCTTCCAGGGTCTTCCTCCACTGCTCAATAAGATTTAAATTTTAAATCTAGACTACGAACACATCAAACAAATCACGTGATTTAAATATCATCAAGATATTGAGTAACCAGTAACTCAGATTCCAACCAGTGTGGGGTCGTGCAATATCATGCATAAATGTTGAGTTGTTTCCAAGAAAACCATGAAGGTAAAACATGAACTTCTAGAATCTCTGTCCGGTATCTATGAGCAGTCTTTGTTCTAATCCCTTGTCAGTATTTCCTACCAAGACCACATCATCAGTATATACTAAGCACCAGCGAATGTTATCCTGTAGTTTCTTCGTTATGTGATCCAATCCTAAACAGAATAAATAAGAACTAAGCAATGAGTCCCAACACAACCCGGCTGTCACATGAAATTTATAAGTCTCTTCTATCTTGACACCAATTCTTACTACATCCATAAATTTGTCCCAGAGTCTTGATATACCGGAAATTACTTTTTTGGTAAGTGTCCACTACAGAGTGTCTCGAGGTGATCTGCCATACGTTTCCTCAAGTTTAATAGTGCACGTTTGTAATTCATTAATCTTGAGTATTTTAAGAGGTCCTGTGTGGGGCACTTAACACGAAAGAGATTCCTGGTAAGTACATGAAGAATGTGAGGTATATTTATTTATTCATTGTTTGTGAGATGCATCCTCCCCGGATACTCGATATAAAAAATATGTCTTCTTATCTTAAATATATAGTCTTAAAAATGTTTTCTACGACCGCCATCAATTCCTGCCTGTATTTATTTAGTTAACTTTCCTCCTACAATTTGTTTTTTATTTTTTTTTTGTTTATTTAAGTAAAGTATTGTACTGTCTTCAATTTTGTTTCTAAACAATACTAAACAGTTTATCGTTTTCCTGTATTTTTGTTATTAAATAATAAAATAATAACAATAGTAATGTTGTTCAGTAATTATTCATACGTTTAAATATAGAATACCGTATGACTGATAAAAAGAAAATCAGGCCACATTGCGGAGAGAAGTATAAAAAAACATTTAATTTGTACGGAATAGTCGAACTACTTGTCAAGGTCAATTACTTGAAATGTTATTAAAATTGATTTTTAAAGCATAAGAAAATATCATTATAAGGATATTAATAAATAAAAATAAATATAAAAATAATAAATAAATAAATATAACCATGTGTACTTACGTACGTGTTATTGTTATATTTTAAGAAAGTACATATAACTATAGCCGCGAAATATTAATTTTAAGGTATATTTTTTAATAAAATATTTTTATCATTAATACAAAAAATGTTTTTATTCTAAAGAGTTGCCATAAAGACATTGAAAACACTTGCAATTGCAATAACACTTGCAAAAACTTGTATCATTATCACGGGAAGCATGGTGCAAGGGACTGCAGTTGCACGCCCAGTCCGGAAAGAAAGTACATAGAAAAAAAATTTTTATATAAATTTTAGATAAATTTTTACCTAATGCAGGCCATTCACGTTCCGACTTGTGGTACGACTAGTGGTCCAACTTCTGCAGTTGGATCTGAAATCGGACCGTGAATGGGCTAGTTGGATTAGTTGGACAACTAGTGGTACGACTAGTGGGACGACTTGAAGATCCGACTTCCGACTGGCGACGAAGTCGGAGCGTGAATGGTGAAGTTGGAAGTCGGATCACAGGTTGGATCGAAAATTTCCTCAGTCAGTTGACTTTCGGCACCTGTTACGTATGAGATTTCTATGAAATACTTTACGCAAAGATCTCTAGTTCGCAAATATTTATTAGAAAATAAACTTTCAATTGCACGAAAATTACCTTTTTGTTAGGGCAAATCATTTTCCTTTCTGTAGATCTATTTCGGACATTCCTATACAGGTAAATTTCCGATACTCCGGATTGGCTACAGAAGAATTATCAACATACAATAAAAATTAAATCATACTTGTAGCAAAAGATCCCTAGTTCGCAAAAAATTAATAGAAAATATCTTTCAATTGCACAAACAATAATTATTCCTATTAAAAATATACGACACACACAAAACAAAATAAATCCCAGCTCCAGTTTAAAACAAATAAAATATAGATTTTATACCTATACAAATCTTTAAAAACTATAATTTTTTCCTACATCTTAAAAAGTCATACAAATCAAGAGTTGAAAAAATTAATTAGTTCAGCCCTAGACAAATACCTAGAGAAACTAAACCTAATTTTTAAATTATCATAACATACAATAAAGATAACAAGCACAGTGCTGTCATTTTTCTCCTCCTAATTATATTTTGCGTAGTGTTTATTCGATACATCCTAGAACTGAAGTTGGACCGCTAGTTGGATAGAAAGTCGGAGCGTGAGTGGAGAAGAACATCCAACTAGTGGTCCTACTTAGTGGTACCACAAGTCGGAACGTGAATGGCCTGCATAAGACAGGCCATTCACGTTCCGACTTGTGGTCCCACTTAGTAGGACTACTAGTTGGATGTTCGTCTCCACTCACGCTCCGACTTTCTATCCAACTAGCGGTCCAACTTCAGTTTTAAGGTTGTTTTCACAATGGTATACATCGCTTAACCAAAAAATGTATCGAATAAACACTACGCAAAATATAATAATATGATATGTATGTTTAAAAATTAGGTTTAATTTCTCTAGTTATTTGTCTAGGGCTGAACTAATTAATTTTTTCAACTCTTGATTTTTATGACTTTTTAAGATCTAGGAAAAAATTATAGTTTTTAAAGATTTGTATAGGTATAAAATTTATATTTTATTTGTTTTAAACTGGAGCTGGGATTTATTTTGTTGTGTTTGTGTGTCGTATATTTTTAATAGGAATAATTGTTCGTGCAATTGAAAGTTATTTTCTATTATTTTTTGCGAACTAAGGATCTTTTGCTACAACTACGATTTAATTTTCATTTTTTGTTGATAATTCTTCCGTAGCCAATCCGGAGTATCGGAAATTTACCTGTATAGGAATATCCGAAATAGATCTACAGAAAGTAAAATGATTTGCCCTAACAAAAAGGTAATTTTCGTGCAATTGAAAGTTTATTTTCTATTAAATATTCGCGAACTAGAGATCTTTGCGTAAAGTATTTCATAGAAATCTCATACGTAACAGGTGCCAAAAATCAACTGACTGAGGAAATTTTCGAACCAACCTGTGATCCGACTTCCAACTTCACCATTCACGCTCCGACTTCGTCGCCAGTCGGAAGTCGGATCTTCAGGTCGTCCCACTAGTCGTACCACTAGTTGTCCAACTAATCCAACTAACCCACTCACGGTCCGATTTCAGATCCAACTGCTGAAGTTGGACCACTAGTCGTACCACAAGTCGGAACGTGAATGGCCTGCATAACTCAACCAGCCGGAGGGTAATGCTTTTTAAGTGTATATATATAATATATATATATATATATATATATATATATATATATATATATATATATATATATATATATATGTCTCTCCCAGGACCATTCCTGGTCGAGAGTGGATTACTGATCGAACCTAACCTTCATCCGGTCAGTGGTGAGTTGTAGCTTATTCCTGGCGAAATCGTGGACCTTAGCCAGTCTATCTTTTAGGCCGCTGACATACACGGGGAGTGTCTCTTGCTCCGCTTCTCCGTCTGCTAGATTGCCATGTAGGGGATCCATGGAAAGCTTCATCTCTCGACCAGTCAATAATATTACTGGAGTGTAATCAGTTGCTTCATGTTGGGAGCTTCGGTAAGCTAGAAAGCAGAAACAGAGGCACCAGCTTGTCCCAGTTTTTCTAATTTTCATGTACAAACAGGAACACGAAGTTGTTGCTGGTCCGATTATGTCTTTCTACCATGTTGTCGGACTAATGATGAAGCAATGTCGTTCTGATCTTCTTAATTTCCAGCAAAGCCATCATGGTTTTCCAAACTTCCGATTCGAAGTTGTGCCCCTGATCAGAATGAAAGTGCAACCCCATGTCGGGAAAGAACATTCTCAAGCAGGGCCTCACCAACTGTGATGCTTCTTGGTTGGGTAGTGAACTACTTCTGACCATTTGGAAAAATAGTATATCAAATACTTGTTCCTGATGTTGTTACTGGAAATGGTCCCAGAATGTCAACAGCAACTCCATGGAGTCCTGGTGATGTATTGTTGGAGTTTTCCCATAAATCTCGTTTTGGGTCCCTTCTGGGATGCACACAAGTCACATCGTTTGCACTATTCTTCCACGACAATTAACCCAAGAATACCTCTCACGGGTGCTGGTCAGGGTCATATTTATCCCAAAATGCCCCCCAGAGCAACTATAATGGTGTTCTGCAAGTACATCCTAAACACATGACTTTATAAGAACAATTTGGGGCACTGGTTTTGTTCCATCTGGACTCTCCAATTTACGATTAATGACGTCATCTCGCAGACATAAGGAGTGCCGCTGAAGCTAATTGCATGCCCATATCGAGCAATTTCTTGCCACTGTGGACTAGCTCCGATGTCCAGTCACTCAGGGACTATTTTTTGATCTGCATCTTTCGGCTGTTCAGCCTGGAGGTTTTCTTTAGCTAGAGCTTCTTCTGTCAGTTCGGTCCTCTAGGGTTTGCATGGTCTTCTCGTGAGGCCGCCAGCATTTCCATGACTTCTTCCCGCGCGGTGGCGAATTTCAAAATCATAGGTCTGTAGTTTCTCCAGTCATCGACAAATCTGGCCTTCAAGTGTCTTGAAATTGAGAAGCCATTGCAAGGCGGAATGGTCGTATCTTATCAATAATTTTCTGACATAGATGAACAAATGGTAGTGTTCTACTGCTTTAACGACCGCCAATAACTCCTTTCTGGTGACACAGTAGTTCCTTTCCGCTTTTCCCTAGTATCCTATGAGATGCTCCTCGCCCTTCTTCACTTGGTAAAGCTCCGCCCCGATGTTATTATCAAACGCGAAAGACCCTTTTCTTTCGGATATGCTAGGATTGGAGCCGTCTTCAATTTATGCTGAAGCGTGGTGAAAGCAAGCTGGCACTCTGGTGTCCAGTCAAATAGCAGCTTCTTCTCAGTTAGTTTATGAAGAGATTTGTCAATCTTTCCAAAATCATTCACGAGCGACGATAGTAACTACAAAGGCCAAGGAAGCTTCGGACATTGTGTCTTGTACTGCTTTTATTTTTTCCGGGTCTGCTGCAACTCCTGGGGTGAAATTACAGCTCGCACTTCTTGGCATTTACTTACGATATAAATACTATAAAGATATTATCTTCTCCCAGCGCTTTATTTCTTCATCTTCAACATCAATTCCGATCCTTCATTGATTAATTTTTTTCCTGATTTTCTAACCTTTCTGTTAGTTGCTCATAATGGTTTTGTTGAATTCTGTATAATTCTGTATAGAAATCTTCTACTACCCTTAGTAATTTATCTCTGTTGGTGATGATATTTCCACCTTTATCCTTTAATTTCATTATTTCTTTTTTGCCATTGGTCAATGTTCTCCTTAGAACTTTGAGGTTCTTATTATTTGCAATCGTTTGTTGGATTTGTTCACTTTTATGCTTTCATTCCATCCTAATAGGTTTTTATATTTTTTTACTTATCTTTCTAATTTCATGATGTTTTCTGCTCCTATTGCTTTGCATTTTCTCTTTTCTTACATTAACGCTGTGTTTGGGAAATTATTCTTTCACACCTGTTTTTTATCTGTCTGTGTCAATGTCATATTTTTTTTTTACTGAAATGCGACTGAAACGACAAAATAAAACGATAAAATGCGTGTTTCTTAGAAAAAATAAAATAAAAATGGAATTGAATCCAATAAAATAAAATAAATTAATTCAAAAACAATCGCTTTGTGCATGGACGATAAGAAAGCTGTTTCCGCTCCTCTTTCCCTTCCAGAGTGCCACATTTTGTTTTTGCTGTTAAACTCTACCAACAACAATTCAAATAACTAAACTTTTTGCAAATTTTTTTCAACATAGTTTTTGATGTAACTGACAAAAATTGTTATAAGCAAAACATAGCTGTTACTTTTAGGTCTAAAGAGGTGCAAATTTTTTAATAAATTGATACAAGTACAGAGTTAATATGAAAAGAAAAATTATGGATAGCACAATTCTCTGGCAAAACACCTGTCTAGTGATGTGCCACACATGGTCTATACCTTATTTGAAATTAAGGGTTTGTGGTACTGGAAGGGAGAGGGTTGACAAATGGCAGATGTCTATGTGGTTAAAAGATGATCCCTTTGAAATAAAAATCGACTTGTTTTAACATTTTCACAAAATTACATGAATATTGCCAAATACTAGGGTGGTCATTTTGAGTGGCCAACCTGTATATGATCCACTAAAGCATTTTTGAAGTTGTTCTACTACACATCATTACATATTTTTAATGACCAACTAAACCATGACGATATTATCAATAATAAATTAAACATCAATTTAAAATGGCTTTTTAATTATTTAGAACAATGAAAAGATAAAAAATCTACAAATTCAAGTAATGACAAGCAAAAAATTAACATACTAAAAGTGTATGTATATTCATACTTTAAGTGATGGTAAATATACTTCATATATCATAAATTTGGGTTATTACATCTAATATTTCCAATGCAATAGCCACACCAACCAAAAAGTCTAGTAGGAAAATCCCTACAGGAAGCTGTCCATCTGGCACAGGACTGCAGTCAATGGAGACAGCAAGCTAACAATATTTAGAGTGTAACCATGCCCTGAAAATGGCTCAAGGAATGAGGAAGAGATTTAGAAATCTAAGATATGACAGATATAAACTTTTCAAATTATTTTCAATATTCAAATTCATGCTGTTTTTGCTATTTGAATCACTAGATTTTTTTCTGAAATAAACATTAAGTTTTTTATGACTAAGTTTATCAATTATTTGGATCTGGCATAATCAAAAATTATTTAATAAAACCCACTGCATTTTAAAGAAATAATAAGCATAGTTTAGTAAATAATAAACATCAATCGAAATATAGGAATTCATTAATCAAATCAAAGTATGTTCATTAAAATGTTACCTATAACAAATACACGGAAACATTAAACAAAGTCTTACCTGAAAGAACATCCAACCTGGATAGTATCCTAACTGAACTGCTGTACATGCAGAAAGAGCAACAAATACTGTAGAAATTGAGTCACATCCGTGGTCAAAAAGTTCACCAAGTGGATTTGAAGAGTTTGTTCTTCTGGCTTGTTTTCCATCTATGGCATCTAAACTCTGATAAATAAATAGTCCTAGAGCACACAAGGCACAAACCCATCTAGGAGCTTCAGCTTTGGCATCAGGTGAATACCTGTAACAATATAAAACAGACCAATCTAAAACATTTATTACACAACCATCACAATTACCTAACTACGGATTGATAATATGTACCACGAAAATTACAAATACTCAGAAGAATCAAACTGAAAGGTCAGGCAGATAATATTCACTATGAACTAGCAAATCAAATGGTCTGGAATAATGGATACCTATATTAAAGATATCTACTTGAAATTGTAATTAATGGGGGTCAAAGAAACAAATAATAAACTGAAAAATTAAAACTGAAATAAAAAACAATCTATCTTAAAAGCCTAAACTGTTCAAAGATGCACTTAAGTCTCCCTAAGTTTTAGCCACTTGTATCTAGCTTGTGTGCTTTTATCCAGTTTCCAGCAATTCCTTCAACTTCAATGGATCACATAGAACATCTATTCCTTATTTGTAAGCATGGTTCAGAACAATTTATAGTAGCTGATTATATTCCACCTGGCTCTTCAGCAATCTTATATGAAGATTTTTGTGCATATTTTGAAGATGTTTGTGCTTATTTGAAGTACATAAAATAGTAGATGATTTTAATTTACCAGATGCTGTATGGTCCATCAAGGATGACACTTTATAGATGTCCTGTCCAGTAAACAGTAATGCCTTGATTCTTGCCCCATGTTTTGCTTATTTTAACATGTTACAGATGTGTCAGGTGCCCAATAACAGCAATTGAGCAAATGGGACCTGAAACCCTTTGTTTTGCAGAGATATAGCTATGGCTTAGCTAGCTTTACTATTAAGTAAGCATACCCACTGTTTCTCAAGGAACAGATACAGCGATAAATTGTTTCTTTCATCTTTGCATTTGTAAATAGTGATCTTCAATCTAATCCCAAAAATATTTGGAAATACATCTGCAAAAGATCATCTTAATTTTCCATATGATATGTATTATGAAAATCAAACTTCTAAAAGTATTGAAACTGTGAATCTCTTTAGCAATTTTTTTTCAATGGTATATTCAAGTAAAATAGTGAGTCCAGTTTCATCATTCTGAAAAATGGCAATTTAATAATGTGCCCTAAATTAACTTTATAAATCAGAGTATTTGATGAAGTTTTCCATCTTCCAGTAAAATATACCTTAGGTACTGATAAAATACCCAATATTTTATTGAAGTGGTGTGCTTACTCATTATTAAAGCCTCTTTGGAGATCTTTAATGTCATTGTCACAAGTGGTCTTCCCTACCTTGTGGAAAGAAAGTTTTATTATGCCTATTTTTAAGTCGTGGGAGAGAAAGAATGTAACAAACTATAGAGGGGTTTGTTTGCAATCTTCTATTGCTAAGGTTTTTGATAGTTTGGTACATTCTCGTTTATCTTGGCAATGTAGGCAGATAATTGTTGATGAGCAGCATGTGTTTCAGCAAGAGGAGTGGATTTTTACAAATCTACTTAAATATCAAAGCAAAATTGTTTACAATAAATTTGTAAAATAAATAAATAATCAGAGTCAGTCTCTATGTTCCCATTTACTCCAATATGTTAACATTAAGTTACTGTTTCTAGAATACCAGCATTCTGACTTAGACCACTCTGGTTTTCAATGGCTCATATATGAACTGTGTATCATTCAGTGTACACAGATATATAACTACCATTTAACATCTAATTTGAACAACTCAGTCAAGAGGAGCTATACTAGACAGACTATGAATTAGTGGTTTATCAGGGCAATCGAATCAATGATCCAAGCAATACTTTTTTGTGATGGGGATTGAACCCATATATTTTGTGACTAAAAGTGGATACACTCACTTCTTAGCTATCTAGGTCTTGTCTTAATCAGGGGATATTTTTAAATAGTTCTACAATCTATTGGAATATCTCCTATAATGTTATTGTGTATCATAAAAATACAATTCCAAAAATTACTTTCTTAGAAACACTTAATTACAATATATATAAAAAGTTGGCTCTGACTTTTTGTTTCATATGACAATTTAACAGTCATGTGCTAAATTTTATTTAAAATTTAGAGATTTGCAATATTTATTTTATTTTATAACGTTAAATAGGAATGCATATAAACAGGAGAAAGTCAAAATATGTCCCACTACTCCACTTACCATATCAATAATAAAGATGTAAATATGTTGACACACAGCCCTAGGACAGTTATTAAATTAGGTGCTAACCATATGGGCACTTTTAACACCAACCAACACCAATAGGGCTGTAATAATTTATCTAAAAAACTAACACTTTGGCAAGAATACTTGTGTTCTCCTAACTTTTTCAACTGTACATCCGATAAAAGTTTTTGCTTGTACAACTTCATTTCTACACTGAACTAGTAATGTTAATTATAAAAGTTTGTTCAAAATTGTTATTTTAACTCAAGACTATTAACAAACACATGAGTTAGACATAAAAAACTTAAATTTAAATTAATGTTGCAGTGCGTTTTCTAAAGCAAATTTTAGCATTGCACAGCATGACAGTAAATTTGTGATTTGGATCTGTCGTGTGAACCAATGTTGCCAAAACAAAAAAATTAAAAATTGTAAAAACTGGTAACTGTTATGAAAATTAATTTTTATGTGCACAAAGCTTTTAAAATTGTATTAGAAAAGTTTTTTCATTTGTTCGGCTACTACAATAATTAATTACATGATAAATAAAATTTTATTTTTTATATAGTATAATATATTATTTTTATAGAATGTTGTATACAAACTATACACCTAGAAATGATAAATTTTAGCTGAATGTTACATTATATTTGATAAATTTAAAAGTACAAATTATACGTTCAATATGATAATAAACATAATTAAAAATTAGGATACAGATACATTTATGATTAGTGCACAGAACAAAATATTCTGTCATCTTAAAATTATTTTATAGGGGAAGAAATTTGATTATTATGACACGTCAGAAAACTTAACCTCTATAAACAATATTATTTTTCTTTAAACAGTAATGAAATGAAATATTTTTCAGATATCATTTATACAACCTTAACTTTAATATCACTGTTATCGGAATTGGCGCTTGGTAATAATACTTGCTGGAACAAAAATGAGGGCGACTGTGGAGTTAATAAAATCGATAAATACTCAAAAGGTAACACTTGTATATACACTCTAAAATGTTTAATGTAGGTATATTGCCAATCAGGTCATCAAAATGCATCATACCTGATTTGTAATGAATAGTTTTTCTAGTTAAAACTAATTTTTAGCTGAAAATTTTTAAACAAATCAATATTTGGTCTTTTTTGTGATAGTACCATAAAAGTTTAAATATTAAACATAAATGACACACTAGATATGATTGGAAATTAGTTTTACGTACCAAAAACTATCTTTAATGGTACCATCTTTATCGTTAAATTAGAATTTGGCGCTGCAATCTGCAAACCTCAAAGGATCTCAGTGCTCTCAAGTATTATTTACTATTAAATTAAGTTTTGTGTTTATCTTATACTAAGGTAACAAAATCTGTTCACCTCTTACTTGCTCTAGCACATTTTCTATTATAATTCGGTGTTCATATTAATTTTTTTTAAACATTATGTGCATACCCATTTTAATTTTATTTTACATAACGAATTTCCCAAATATACCAATGATATATTTTTTAGATGCCAATGTCTATCATAAGTACTTGGAATTGTTTAATGATGCCAAGAGGAACTATATACCATGTGAAGAAAGTAAATGCTCCTGCCATGCATCTGTAATCAGTGATGATCTAAAACCATTCAGTAATGGAATAACACAACAAATGATGGAACATGTTAAGTCTAAGTATGTGATATTTAAGTGTTCTTTCAGTATTAAAATTTTGTTTACAAGAAGAACAGGTATTTGAAAATATTAATGACCATTATTCCAAATATTCTGATCATAACCCCTTAGTAGCACCAATTTGCATCAAATTGCTCAAGTTTAATTTGTTGTTTAATATACTTCTAGTATCTATTTTATTTCTATATCTATTTAGTGTATATCTCATTTTATTAATATATGGAATAACATATGTTTCAAATAGAATTCAATGTACGAAAATATGTAAGATTTAAATCATTTCTAGGGGAACAAAATATCAGATCATCAATAATCAACTTTACCGCGACGAATACTGTATGTTTCCTGCTCGATGCCAAGGCGTAGAACACTTTTTATTGGAATTATTACCCAAATTACCAGATGTTGAATTTATACTTAATACCAGAGATTGGCCACAAATCCATAAGAAAGGAGGAATAGTGTCACCAGTTTTTTCCTTTAGCAAGACATTGGAGTATTATGATATAATGTACCCAGCATGGTCATTTTGGGAAGGAGGACCTGCTATAAGTTTATATCCCAGAGGAATAGGTAATGATAGACTATAGTGCTTTAAACTTCTTATATCGAAATAAATATATATGAATGAATGTTTAATGTTTTAAAGCTGTAATGACAGATGTGAAAAAATTGTTCACAAGAGAGTTTAATGCTCTGTCTCTTTTTCTTCTTGGTTGTAGTCTGTGATGACCGCTCCCAAATATATGTAAACTTCTTTACTAATTCGAAGTTGTGATCATTAAAATTATGTTCTATCTAATTTTAGGCCTTCAATTTTTGTTTACTACCAAATTTCATCTTTTCTTTATTTGTTCAGAGACCCAGATTACCTGCTTCCTCTTCGAGTTGTGAAAACACCTTGCACATGTCTCTTGTAGAATGAGCAATTGTATTTGTCATCAGCAAAGGTCAACACCAGTTTTGAAACTTGATTGGCAAAACCTGCTGTCACCTCCGACGATATTTTAGTTAGTGCATGTTTCAAGACAAAATTAAACAACAATAGTTACAAGGGACCTTCTTTTCTGAATCTGACTGTTATACTAAATGGCATTGATTTCTGTTTAATATATTCACCAGTGCATATGAGATGTTTTCTTTAAAAATTGACTACTTTTATTGTTTGATCTAGTGATTACACACAGTATATACCGATATGGCAATTTTTCAACTACCATATACATTATTCAGTATGCGAAACAAAGATGACACTTCATTGTTTGAATAGAAGTGAGAGGCAGTGACCATCTCGAAGGAGTAGATATGACTTTGGACAATTTAGTCTGATACATGAGGTAAAATAATATTGAAATTCACTACGGTTCATTGTAGAATAAAAATTAATATTTTCCCAAAAAAACTTAAATATAGTAGCCATGTACCTAATTGTTATTTTCTAATAACTTTTATCAATTTTTTAATTGGTTAACAAAGAACAGTGATTTAAAAAATTGATGTGTGCAACAATGCATTATTCCCCTGGGTTTATAGGAATTGTATCCATTTCGTTTCAAAATACTGCTTACAGTTCTCTCCTTTAGGTTAACTTCGTCCGTAATTTGTCTACTTGAACAAGGCGTTTCTTCGGCAATTAAACAAACTTGCATTTCGCTAGCTTTGCGTTCAACAGAGATTTGTTTCGATCATTTTTGATCCATTGGATGGCATTTCATACAGGTATTTATGCAACCGAAATTTTAGTTTTTAATAATTGATTATATTATTTTCTCTGTCGGAATTAGGCGATTTTCAAAACCAGCAATAAATAACTATTATTTCTACAATAGAATGATTCTAATAATACCCTTTGAATATTTTATTTTCGAAAATATACGCTTGGCATGTTAATAATAGATAGACCATAAACCTGCTGTACAGATAAGTACCACCTATTCCTTTGAGGAGAAATAATGCACTATTAGAAGGGATACACCGTTTATACTATCTGTCTACTGTCTACTGAAGGGCCTTATTTATTTAGCTTACGCTGTTGTCACATATCAATTTTTCAATTTAGTGTTGTTGTAATGTTTTCAATCAAGTAATGATATAATCGTTTAAAAAATAACAGTTACATGATTACTTCATGTAAGTTTTGTTGGGGCAATATTAATTTTCATTCTACAATGAACTGTAGTGGATTTAAATAATATGTTACATTCATGTATTCGACTAATATTTTAGAAGGAATGATGTAACAGAAATTTTGCAACACTGTTTAAAAATTAGACTTGCTACTCCAACATGCGTGGATTGTGTCTCACTCGTATTCAAACAATTAAGTGTTATTTTTATTCTGCATACTGAATAACGTACATAGTAGTTAAAAACTTGCCATATCGGTATACATATACTTATTATGTATTTATAGGTAGATGGGACGTGCATAGGAACAGATTAGGGAAATTGGGAAATACTACGCAATGGTCAGATAAACTTTCTAAAGCATTCTTTAGGGGATCCAGAACGAGTTCTGAAAGGGATCCGCTTATTCTTTTATCCAGGGAGAATCCCGATATGGTTGACGCTTCATACACAAAGAACCAAGCATGGAAGTCAGACGCGGTAAGTAATAAATCTCTGTTTTAATCGTTTTTGGATTAAAACCGTTATTTGATACGTAACATCTCCTGTGTTCTGTTTGAACTTACTTGAAAGTAAATTTATACATTTATGAGCGTAGGCGGAAAATTTCGGGCCAATGCTTTTTAAATGCATTCATTTTTTTCGAATCCTGAGAAAACTAACAAATATTTTGAAAAATTTAAACGCAGAATGAAAAAATACATTATTACCGAGTGCCAAAAGTCTCTTACAATAAACAAAAAGTTTTTTTGAATGAGATATTTGAAATTAAAATCACACTAAATTTTCTCTTTTTTTTTCACCCTTGTAACTTTGGGCGGTTCCAGGAATGTTTTTGTGTTATAAAGAATTTTTGGCTTATAAACAAATAGAATATTTCGGTAATTATTAGCTTAAATTATATTCGGAAAACGGAGATGAAACAAACTCGGCAACACGCTTCATTACATTTTTTAACAAATATCTTTTTTTAATTCGTTTATTTTATACCTATACTACTGTATCTACTTCTGTTACCAATGAATTGTTGTCTTTATATATCGTTCAGTTTTTTGTACTGAAACATGGTATGATAATCTTAATTTTTGTAAACCGCTCTTTTGTTTCTAATAAATTGGCATGTTTGTACTGACTTATCTGTCACGATCTTCTCTGTAACTTCTTTGGATATAGGCGAGCGGTTTACCCTCAAAAAGACGCTTAGAAACATAATATACCAACTAATTTTTTTGCATTTCTACCGCATCGAACCTTTTTTATTCGATTCTATATATTTTTTCAAGTTCAACTGTATTTTTTAAAATTTTTCTAAGTGGGCCGGAAATTGTTATTAACAAATAACTTATAACAAAAAAAAAACAATATTCCGAATCGCTTCGCGTAAAATTTTTTTGGCGTATCTCGTCAAAGTAAATACTTTTTCTTCTTAGAAATTTTTCGAAAACTTCCGTTTCAAGTTATTTGCAATTTTTTGTTGCTAATTTACTCTTTACTAATTATTGGCAACTTGCATGTTTGTAGAAGATCTCTTATGTTATATGATATTTGTGATACTTGTGATATTGGGAGACTTTAATATAGATTTGGCAAGTATAAACTTTTACTCTATGAAATTAAATAATATTATTATTAAAAATGGTACCTATCAGCTAATAAACGAATACACAAGGATTACAAAATCGACATCTACTAGGATTGACCTAGTACTTACAAATCAAAAAGACATTAGTTGCAAGGTGCTCCCAACTCCAAAGATTACAGATCACTCGATAATTGTAGCTGATCTGGGTAGAAACAATGAGACGACACTTACAAAAACCTATAGAAAGTACAATATAATGGATGTGACAGGATTTCAAATGAAACTTATGGATATGCAGTGGCCATCAAGTTCCTCTATAGATGTAAGTAACAATGCTGATATTCTAATAACTAATGTATTGTCTGCACTCGATCAGTTTGCTCCAGAAAAGTCTATTAATACGAAGGATGTTTGGGGAAATAAATTATGGTGGAATGAAGACATTGCGAATGAAATTAAAAAAAGAGATCAATATTACAAAAAGGCTATATTTACTAAAACTGATACTGACTGGGATGATTTCAAACAACAAAGAAATAGTCGTAGCAATAATCAGAATTACCAAACAAAATTATTATCAGGAAAAAATAGATGATTGTAAGAACGACCCAAAAAGAATGTGGAAAACATTAAAGGAGCTTGTAAACGGCAAAAAAAACCATGAAGCTAAAAGTGAAATAATATTTGATGGTGGGGGGTTACTGGTAAAGAGATAAGTGAAAGATTTAATATATTTTTTCTAGACAGTGTAAAAGACATAGCAGATAGCATTATTTCAAACAAAACCCACCAAGAAATTTGTAGTTCAATAAATGTCGACTGCAAAATGGAAAAATTCAAAATGTTAGAAATGAAAGATTTAAAAAAAAACAAATGAAAGAAATGAAAAACAAAGAAAGTAATGTTGATGGTATTACAGTTCAAATTTTAAAGAGTTCCTTTGAAGTAATAGGCGACAAAATTTTGCATATTATAAATGGTAGTCTAGAAAGTGGCGTATTCCCAAGTAAATGGAAGTCTGGTTGTACCAATTGAGAAGGTTCATGGAACTGTTAAGTGTGAGAAATTTCGACCCATAAATATGGTACCACCATACGAAAAACTGCTGGAATTATGTGTAAAATGATCAAATAGTGGAGTACTTGGAAAGCAATAATGTGTTAACTAAATTCCAAGCAGGGTTTAGGAGATGAAATTCCTGTGAGAGTGCAATGCAGACAGTTTTGTTTGACTGGAAGGGTGCGCTGGAGTGCGGGAAAATGATTGGTGTGGTTTTCTTAGACTTTAAACGTGCATTTGAAACCATAAACAGACAACTGCTATTGAGAAAGATGGAAAGGTATGGCTTTGGTGAAAAAATTATAAAGTGGTTTCAAGAATATTTGACTGATAGAACACAAGTGACAAAATATGGTGCCATTTCATCGGCTCAGAAGTCTCTGTATGGTGTGCCACAGGGAACTGTGTTAGGTCCTACTCTTTTCATACTGTATATAAATGATATTGTTGATGTTGTTAAAAAGTGTAAGGTACAGTTGTTTGCCGATGATACTGTGATATATGCAATAGGGGATATGGTAGATGAAATTATCGATATAATAAATGAAGAGATATGTAATATATTAAAATGGCTCGATAATAATTCCTTAAGTCTTAATGTAACTAAAACAAAAATGATGCTTATAAAGAATAAAAATTTTAAATTAAATAACATAATAAAAGATGTAAAAATTAATAATATTGCTTTGGAGAGAGTGGTTCAGTATAAGTATTTGGGATGTATTATAGATGAAAATTTAAGTTTTGTTGAACATTTTAAGTTTGTTACAAACAAAATAGCAAAAAAAATCTATGCATTGGGAAGAATGTCAAAAAATTTAAGTTGCTGGTCTAGGTTGACCATATATAAATCGATTATTGCTCCCCATCTCTATTTTTGCTCTACATTGCTGTTTTTAATGAATGCTTCTCAAATGAACGTACTGCAGAAAAAACAAAATAAAGCCTTATATTAGGATGTAGTGTATACACTAGTAGAACTGACATGCTAACAATGGCAACTGTTTTAAGTGTAAGACAGACAATTGTATGTAATAGTATGATTTTTGTTTATAAAATGTTAAATGGTCTGATACCTGTGCATTTGTGTAATAATTGTACCTTTGTTCGAGATGTACATGAACACAACACACGTTCTAGAAATAACTTTTATCTGAATAGGGTCAACACTAATTTTGGTCAGAACAATCTTTTTTATAGGGGATTAAAGCAATACAATGAATTACCGGAAAACATTAAGGCTTCTGGAAACTTAGCTCAATTTAAAAATTTATGTAAGATATATGTTAAGCAAAGCATTGTGATTTAATTTTAAGGGTATAAATTGATGTATTTATATGTATATTTTTCTTGCCATGTGCTATTAATAAAGATTATTATTATTATTATTATTATTATCCCAGATTTAGCCATACGGCTCACACTCCCTCTAAGGGGAAAATTCACTCATCCCAGATACCTACGGTATCAAAAGGATTGAGCTCTGGTGGGACTCTTTCCGTGTTATCGAGCCCTAGGTGACTTGGTATGTCGGAGTATCTCCCAGAAATTTTCGTACACATCTGGAGGTCGCGAGGAGTACAGCTTTCTGCATGGCCTTATAAAGATGTTCATTTAGACCCAGCTGTTTTATGTTCACTAGGAGGTTCTTGGGAATAACACCAGTAGTAGATAGAACAATAGGTACTGTCTGGGTACTTTCCATTCTCCATTGTCTTTTGATTTGTATTTCCAGATCCCTATACTTGGCGATCTTTTCGTTGTATTTAACAAGCAAATTGTTAGTGTTAGGTATCGCCACATCAATAAGTGTTGTTTGCCTGGTAATTTTATTCACTAGTATGAGATCCGGTCTATTATGGGCCACTGGTTGGTCTGTGAGCACAGTGCGGTCCCAGTATAGCTTGTAGTTGTCATTTTCAAGCATTCTGTCAGGGACATATTGATAATAAGGAAGATGGTCGGTTTGGAGAAGTCCCAGTTTGTCAGCTAGTTCTTGGTGGATAATCTTTCCTACTGAGTCATGGCGTTCTTTATAATTAGTACCGACAAATGCCTGGCAGCCACCGGTAAGATGTTGGATGGTTTCTTGGGCTTGGCATCCATATCGGCATTTGTCGTTTTGGACTTGAGGATCTTTAACAATATATTTCAGGTAATTTTTAGTTGGAATAACCTGATCTTGAATGGCAAGTAGGAAACCCTCAGTCTCGGGAAACATCTTTCCTGATGTCAACCAATAGTTCGACGCTGTATTGTCGACATATTCTTGGTTGATCTCATTGAGATGTCGCCCATGCAGAGGTTTACTCATCCAGGTGCGCATTTTTTCTTGCTTAGTCAGATGGTTTGTGCGCATTTCTTGTTCCCTCAGTTTAAGCGGCGTTGTGTCATCTACTGCGCAAATTGCTCGATGTAAAGTAGATGTCTCAGCCTGTACCTGAAAATAAGATCTTAAATTAGCAATTTGTTTATCTAATTGCTCACCTATATCCATAAGTCCTCTTCCTCCTTGATACCGCGGTAATGTTGTTCTCTCTACTGCACTGCGTGGATGATGTTTTTGCGCCTTTGTGAGAAGTGTTCTTACTTTCCGCTGAAGACCCTCTATATCCGTTTTTGACCACTTTATAATACCAAATGAGTAGCTCAGCGCGGAACAGGCGTACGTATTTAATGCCTTAAACAAATTTTTACTATTAAGATATGACCGATTTAGTTGTCTTATTCTTCGCACGAACTCCGAAGTTAGTTCAGTTTTCATCTGTTTATGGTCAATTTTCCGCGCCTGTTTTACTCCGAGATATTTGTAAATATCATTTTCACCCATTGCCTCGATGTTTTGGCCATCTTGCATATCGAAACCTCCGGGCTGAACCTTTCCTCTGACTATATTAAGTATACGGCACTTGTCTAGTCCAAAGTGCATACTGATATCATTTGAGAAAGTTTCTACAGTTTTTAGCATCTGATCTAAGTGATTTCGAGTGGAAGCCATTAGTTTCAAATCATCCATATACAACAGATGATTAAGCTTCGCCACAACAGTGTTGTTATTTTTGATGCTAAATCCTGAGTCAGTGGAGTTCAGCAGCTGAGATAGTGGGTTCATCGCTAGGCAGAACCAAAGTGGACTCAACGAGTCCCCCTGGAAAAGGCCCCGGTTAATAGCGATATCTTCAGTTTCGATATTGGTTTCACCAGGTATTTGAAGGTGAATTTTAGTCTTCCACTTTGTCATTATATGCTTCAAAAAGGTCACGAGATTATCATCGACTTTATATATTTTCAATATATCTATAAGCCATTCATGCGGCACTGAGTCAAAAGCCTTCTTGTAGTCAATGAAGGCAGTAAACAGGTTTCGTTTTTTGGTGTATGCCTGGTTAGAGATGACTGAGTCGATAATAAGTTGTTCTTTGCATCCCATGGAGCCCTTAGCGCATCCTTTCTGTTGGGGCTCTATGATATTGTTCAGAGCACAGTGTTGGTAGATACGCCGGGCCACACAAGATGTGACCAATTTGTACAAAGTTGGAAGACAAGTAATTGGGCGGTACTTGGCTGGATCTTGGGTGTTATTTTGATCCTTCGGTATTAGATAAGTGGTTCCCTGAGTAAGAAATGATGGTATTTCCTGCAAATTAGAAATAATATTATTAATAAATACTGTTAAAAGTTCATGAACACTCCAAAACTTCTTTAACCAGAAGTTTTGAACTCCGTCTGGTCCAGGAGATTTCCAGTTATGAAGCTCTTTGATGATGTTCAAGACTTCTTCAGTGGTAAAAGGTTCATAAGGAATATTCCTATAGTGTTGACAATTGTTCTCCGTGTCTTCAATCCATCCAGCATTGTTGTTATGGGTAGCTGGCGTCGAAAGTTGATTTCCCCAAAACTCATGAATTTCTTCTTGGCTTGGGTAGGATTTATTTACATTTTCTACAGTGGAATTTAGTTTTCTATAGAAAGCCTTCTCTGAATTCTCAAAAAGTATATTGTCGCATTTACGGTTGTAACTAACTTTGTATCTCCTTAAGCGACCTGAATAAACGGAGAGTTTTTGTTTTAATGTGTCTAGGCAGTGTTGAGCTGTGTTGTTTTCTGGATCATGTTGTGAGTGTCTTGAAGTGTTCAGAATAATTTCTTCAGCTCTTTTAATTAGTTTTTGACTTCTTACTCCTCGGATGTATTCCGTAATTTGCCCAATATCCCTGCGCAATAATTCAATTTTCCTCAGCAGTCTTTTTTCCCAGGGTGCAATTCTGTTTTCAGTCCTTCCGATATTAGTTCCCCGTCGTGTTCTGATCTTAATGCCCATAACATTAGCAATTGCTGTTGCTGCACAGTAAATCAGCATATGCAAATATTCTAATGTATGTGCTTCCACGATATAATTGGGTAGGACTTCAGTGTTCATAATTTGTAACAGCGCACCTAGTTTCTTACAAGAGTTTATTTTTGGTAGCGGTGGTCGGCTAAGTGGGTTTGTACCATTAAACTCTTGTATGGCCCGTTCCATTTCTCTTACCAGTC